ATATATATATATATATATATATATATATATATATATATATATATATATATATATATTTGACCTACTCCACTCTTCCTATCACCTGCTTTGTACCATATAAACTACCAACACAGATGAAGCTTCATGTTAGAATATTATGCCATTTCTTGCTTAATCGTACAATAAAACATATTGGCGATTGTACATTGTATTAGAATAGTTTTACCTATTCAATTATTGTATACTGGGTTTTTATATGTTAAACGGGGTGTACGTGATACGACTTACCCGTGTCCCCTTTAATACCAGTTTCACCTCGTTCGCCTGCTATTCCCTTTGGTCCTAGCATAACGAGAAATATCCGTATCATTTTACAGTCGTTATGATTAGACATTGCTTTAGAAAAAAAAAGCTTGTTTAGTGAAACGATTTGTGTTCCAAATGTTAATCACAAAATATTAATACTACTATATCAATACCACAAAATATCAATATAAAACATTATAAAGTCATTATCTGTCCCCTTAACAATGCCTCCGTAACAACTAATTGTTGTTACGGATAACATAAATCTCACCAGTCCGCCCGACGTTTCCCGTCGCTCCCTTGTCACCAGTTTGTCCCTTTGCCCCCGGACCACCTCTCTGTCCTGGAGCGCCGTTACTACCTGGAGTCCCCCGATCACCTAAACAAAGATGCAAAGCCACTTGGAAAAGTTTTCTGACGTCTGGAACTGCAATAACTGATGGTACAGCTTTAATAGCCTGCACTGACTGGTTAAAGGTCATTCTACCCAAATGCAATCCGGTTCCAAGTAGCTAACAAATAACATGTGATAGATTTTATGATACACGTGAAAGGAATATTTATCATGCACACTAACATGTTAATAACGACTCCTTGAATGATTCTATATGGACACAACATCGAATGTAATCACTGTTGCCTCAAACAACAGAATACAGATCAGACGTACCCTTAGCCCCCATCGGGCCAGGCGGTCCCTTGATGCCGGGAACTCCCCTGTCTCCCTCTGCGCCTTTCGGTCCCACTTGCCCTGATGTTGTGGAGAGCAAATGTCAGTAAGGCCATGTTGATTTGATTATATGGATGACATCCGCGCGCGCATGAATTTTCGGCCGTTTCCAAAAAAAAAGTTTTCAACCATACTGTAAATCGTACAAAACAGTTGCAAAATGAGCAAAAATATACCATAAGTTACAAAAAAAAAAATTAATAAAAACTATACCGATGTCGTAGAATGCCAAAATCAAACGAAAAAAGACGAAATTGTACAGAAATGAACTAGAAGACTAGATTATTCGCCAAACCATATTCTGTGCCATTTGCTCAACCCTCATGAACACGTAGATTTCATAATGAAAAGAACTTTTTTTTTTGCAAAACTTTTTTTTATTCGCACGCGCGCATCAGTTTTGGGGCTCCCGGAGGATGTCATCCATATAATCAAATCAACATGGCCTAATATATGTATTTTTTGCAAGAAGTGTGTTCTGTGTGATCAATGAAGGTTAGACATCTACTAATCGGTACATGTAATGAAGTACACAGAAAATTCTAACATCCTTTGCTTCACTGAAAAGGGTTGGATGCTGGATGAAAGTTTGACAGTTTGCAAAAGCTATGTAGTTGTTTGAGTAACAGCTTTCTCTTGTAAAATTTGTATTGTGCGCTCTTAGTTATGGGTTCACCACACCACGAAGTGGTGGTGAACCCATATTGCTTTTTCTGATGTTTCTTCTCCTCCTTCTCCTCCTGCCACTTCTTTAAATTGATTCAACTCCTTCATTTTTGGGCGAAATTACCTGTAATTTCGTATAGAGGTAGAGTGGGTAAATACCCTTAGGCGTTTTTTTAATTTTTTTGATACAAGCTTTTACAATCGTTTTATTTGCTTTTTAGTGGTCCCCATAGGAAAGTACTGTGGGGGCGTACGCGCGTGACGTAATAAGAAAGGAATTCGGGGGAAGGCCCAAATATGGGCATACAAGCAGGTGTGGTCATGTTTGCAGATGTGGCTGTTGATTGGCTGTTGGCTAATTAATTTATTTACTACCATTTTCACGTACCAGCGCAGCTGGTCCACGCGGTCTCGGCCGTGGGCCATGATACTCTGATACTGGATACCGATTCGTGTGATTCCTATAGGGCTTATTCACCACAGATTGTCACGTGACTCTCCCCCTGGCGTCCGCCATTTTGGGGCTATCGCTATGCAATGCTATGCAAACTCTTGGCGATAGTTGTGTATTTTGGGCCACAATCTACGTTTTGGACACTCTTCTTGTTAGTAACATTGTCCTTTGGGTTGTTCTGGCTCCGTGTCCACTTTTCATGTTGTCAAGATTGGCTTTTCAGTCTTTCTTTGCTGATCAGAAATCGGTGTGTTTAATCCTGGCGCGGCGTACGGGGCTGTTCATGTACATGTAGATTGAAACGTGGGTAGCCATGAACACGGTAAAATGTTGGACTCGGAGCTACTTGTCCCTTTACTCTGTGGTAAATCTCCATGTAGAACAGGGCGCTGGCAACGTGTAACACTCACCTTGTCCAGCCACAGTCGCGGCAGTGCGGACTGAGGATGGCGGCCGATGGCCTCGCCTTTGCTTGTTGTTTATCCAGACACACTCCGGGGCTGTTCCAAAATAGCCGCGACTTTTTGCGTTTCCCGACTACAACGTACTTAATTGTCACCACGCAACTGCATGTCCCACAACACTCTCTACACATCCTGATACAACGCTTCCAGACTCTTGAACCGATCCTGTGTGTAAAAACTTCTGCCCAGTACCAAATACGAAGCTAAGTCACGTCAATGGACTCCGCTGGCGGTAGACGCCGTTTCTATCAGACTGATCAAAACTCAACAGAAACGGGTCAATCCCAACAGATTTTATTTTGTTCCAGTAACGAGAGGTATGAGTGGTGGTAAACTCTTCGTGTAATAGGACAAAGGACAGTTTACCTAACGTTTGTCGGCCATTTCAATGCTTGGAAACTCGCTGTAGGCGCTGTAGCCCCAAAATGGCGTCGCACGGGACATGAGGGGTCGTGACGTCATGATGACGTGTGGTGAATAAGCTCTATAAACATTTCACCTAACTACGAACTAGTTGGAAGAATTATAGCTGCATGGATGCCTGTATATGATTTTAACAAACACTGAAAATCTGACGCAAAAACTGGCAGATATTTTGCTCTTCTCTGTTGGAACAACGCAAGCGGGAGGTCAATGACCTGCGCCCCGCGAGTACCGTAAACAACGGTACGTAATGTGTATCGTCGGCGCACGCGCGCGCGCCACGGTATCAACAATTTTCCACAATCTTCACCGACTAGTATTATATATTCTGTTATCGATTTCTGAAGAATCACCAAAATTGTAGAGTGTATCTCCTAGAAAGTCCCTTACTAGTACTTGAAGCGATCGTTACCCCCATGTTGTTCACTTTATATGACATACAATGCAGAGAGTAATGGAAACGTGTCCAGGTAGCTCGGTTGGTAACGCGCAGGGCTGCAACTCGTAATGTCCAGACATTACGAGTTTGAACCCCGGTACACTGGATATTTTTAATTATCTTTTTTACAATTTTTAACAATTTTAACATTTTTAACAATTTCAACAATTTTAACCATTTTAACCATTTTACATTTTAACAATTTCAACATTTAAATTTAACATTTTCGTTTTAATATCCATTGCTTTGCTTTTAACATTCCAAAACTGATTGTTCTTACTCAAGAATTTCAATAACTTCGAATGTTAGTCTTTTGTATTTTTTCAACATACAAACCAAAATCACTTTGATGTTGTCACAAAAGTAACATCTGTGCGCGCATCGGTTTTCGTTCATTTAAAAACTACAAGTACAAAACATCTGGAAACTAAGCAAACATACTCAGTCAATTGATTGCTGTAATTCCCGATTTTTTTTCACTGTACCGCAACGCAAGCGGGGGGTCAATGTTCACGGTTTTCACTGTCACCTCTGTATTGTGAACTTATCATTACAGTTAGGAAATAATTCCTGGACTTTCTTTTTCCTGCAACTGTCACCACCGTGAATATATACTTCCGTGAACATGTCCATTTTTCTCAGGCCGTGAAAATTTTGCTTCCGTTAGTAGTAGTTACAATCTCGTCAAAAGTGTAAAGTAAAGCTGTCGAGATTTTA